TTCCTTGCCCAAGCTTGTTGTGGGTAAATAAAGCGACACTTATATACTTAAAAAAAAATTGTTATGAGATGTACATATCACGATAGTTATGGATATATATTTGAGGGCGCCCAATTCAGTTGTTGTCCGGGGCGCAGCTTTTGCCTACCACGTCCTTGGCACTGGAAACCAAACAGGGCTCCTTCAGTGAGAAAATGGTCAGAAATTTTTATTTTTTTATTTTAGAAATACAATTTTGATTAATGTCTAATTTGATAAGAATATAAAAGAATTTTTTAGGTAGACTTTATTTTGATAAGTGTATAACAGAAAAGTTTAGGGAGATTTAAGTTTGATAAGATTATTACACAAAAGTTTAGGGAGACTTCAGTGTAAAATATACATTTAGGGAACATTCAAAACGTATTGACACTATGGGAAAATCTGCGCTAACAAATCTAATAAAAGAATGAATCATACATTTTTTTTTTTGAAAAATGAAATTGTTAAACAAGGCTTTGCCCCTTAGAATATTTCCTGAAACCCATGTCAAGTAGAATAACAATACAAATAAAACTACTTGACTGAGTCTTGAGGACCCCTGACCAGATACCCTTGATGAGAATCCCTAAATTAGTTTGACATTATAACAGGTATAATAGAAAAACGAAATTGAAATCTGGACCTAAAAAGAAACGTTCATTCAGATAAAAAAAAAATGTCTCCTATAAATGATTTAGTTCGTGATGTGTGTTACATCAATCACTTCCCCCAAGAAGAAAATTAATGGGTTACTGTAGCTCATAGTCAATCGTCCCCCATTCCCATTTAAACACAGTTAACGACTTGATGGCGCCCATAAACATATCTTTAAGACACGCACATTAACATTTTTTGAGACACTAGAACTTTTTATGGGATATCTGCCCTCAGGAAAAATTCTTTCAACTATCGTTAAAAATATGTATTGTTTGCACCCTTTGTTGACGTTATCGTGTGGAGGGGATATGTCAATGTTTGTATATGTTTCATGAACTATCGATCTTTTAATGGTCAGGTGATTTGCGTTGTGTGATGAGCTGTGTGATAAGTTATTATATGAGAGGTGTGATCACTTGTGTGAGGAGTTGTGTGTTGAGTTATTATATGAGATGTGTGATCACTTGTGTTATGAGTTGTGTGTTGAGTTATTATATGAGATGTGTGATCACTTGTGTGATGAGTTGTGTGTTGAGTTATTATATGAGATGTGTGATAACTTATGTGATGAGCTGTGTGTTATTATATGAGATGTGTGATCACTTGTGTGATGAGTTGTGTGCTATTATATGAGATGTGTGATCACTTGTGTGATGAGTTGTGTGTTGGCTTATTATATGAGATGTGTGATCACTTGTGTGATGAGTTGTGTCTTGAGTGATTATATGAGATGTGTGATCACTTGTGTGATGAGTTGTGTCTTGAGTGATTATATGAGATGTGTGATCACTTGTGTGATGAGTTGTGTGTTGAGTTTTAAAAATATTTTTTTTTTAAATTTCTCCACGACACTCCCAGATTTGTCAAAGTTAAAAATTGTAACGTAGCCAGCGTCTACATTGATACTTTATTTATTACAATCATTGTTGCATTTTGTCACAATTTTCGGTTTTTGCTCTGGTGTGCATGTATCTTCATTCTTCTTCTTATATTTGAGGGGCCACGATCAATTTATAGATCATTCTGGCGGCTCCTGGTTTAAATTCAGAGTTTGCCTTCTCTTAGATGAGATGCCGCCCAAGGCTAACGTGTCCCATCCACCCGGCGTGCTTTGATTGCTCGCTTTGGTGGGGATTGAACTCCAGACCACCAGCTATTTGGTTTGAGACTGTTTAGACCGCTCGGCAACCTGATGACATAACACACAGTCAGTGTCTTCAAAAACCAATGAACACGGTGTCATGGTCAGATCACGTGATATCGTTTGATGTAATAATTGTTTCAGTGAGCAATATAACCCTAGTCTGTTCTCTAGTTCTCTCTCGTCTTGACTATTGCAACTCTCTTCTATCAGTTTAACCAAAACACTTCTTAGAAAAATTACAAAAGGTTCAAAACATAGCTGCTTGGCTAATTCTAAAGGCAAAAAAAAACTTGATAGTCACACCATTACTTTATTCACTTCATTGGCTCCCTGTACAAGCACGGATCGACTACTAACTCTCTGTTCTATGCCACAACCTTTTCTCGAATTCCTCTTCTTCCAATTAAACCGAACTTCTATCTGTCTATTCATCCATTCGAAAGCTTTGCTCCTGTGCAGACGCGCGTATTCTTTCTGTCTCTAAGACTCGGACAAAAACATACGGTGAACGATCGTTCTCTTTCTGTGCCCCCAAACAATGGAATTCTCTTCCATTACACATTCGCAATATACCGACCATCACAGCCTTCGAAACAGCACTCAAAACACATCTCTTTAAAATGTACTATCCTGACTGATTCCAACCCCACCCCCCTTTTTTTTGTGATCGATAAACGATGCTGCTGAGTAGCCTTCCATGGCTTGACATGTAAATAGTTCTTGGTTGTGTGGAGGGAATATACATTTCTTTTGTTTTATTTAATTAATGTATTTTAATTTTCATTTCATGATTATGTTTGTTAAATTGCATGGACAGCGTGGTGAGCCCAGCCCTAGCTGCAGTACTACGCTATTTAAAACCACCACTAATAATAATAATAATAATAATAATATTTTCTCTAGCGACTTCCTCGTGTGTTGCACCACCTTTGCTCAGTCGTGAATGCGCTATCACGCATTTCCGGATTGGCGATATGGAGGTGCGTAGAATTGTTATGGACGTCAGGCTGCATTTGATTTTTTTAAAGTAATGAGTGGCTGATTTGTTGCGCTGGGTGCTGGACATTCCATTGTTTCACGTGTGAACAGTATTGTTGCTGGTTGGTTTGTTGTGCATTACGTCTTGGCACATCACATGAATAATTATAGTATGCCTTTTATTTCAAACCATGTCGTCAAGTTCTTAGCAGAGAAAAAGAAAACACAAATTTAGGCTCTGATTCGATAGTGTTGTTGTCTGTGGCAGTTGGATGAGGGACCTAACCCTAGACGACAATTCGCCACAAACGTTCCCTCATTCTTTTTGAGAACCCGTAATTTCCACACACACACACAAAATATTATTTAAAATTCATAGTTCAAAACATAACCCAGAAGGGCGAGCCATTCAATAAGAAGAAACACTGAGATTAAGTGTGTATCGGTCAGAGGACATAAATGTAACCTTTTATGCGACTCGTATTTTTAACATAGGATCAATCAATTGTTGTCCATGTCAAGTGAATGGCTCAGAAATTTACTGCAATAACACCGCAGGCCTTTCTTTGGATCGTAACTTTCTGTACAGGACCAATCTTTCCTGTGATAGACATTCAATGTTTGAAATTGACAAGGTTGTTTTAGGCCCTCAGGCATAGAAAGTGGCTCATTTTAGGTTGTTAGACACATGTTATGATTTGTTTTCAGCTTTTAAGCATAGGAATTTGTTTATTTTAGTTTATTTTTCAAGGGAAGTATCCTTTATTTTTATTTGTCAGAATAATGCGGTTTGAAAAGTTCAGTCTTTTTTTTTTTTTATTTTGGCAGTTTGAAAAAGAATTTTTTAAATATTTTTTAGTGTTATAAAGTGTATATTGTGTAGTTTGTAGTGTGTAAAAAGGACAGCGATTTAGTTTGTGTGATAACTCCATCAATTCGACCTTGTCACCATGCTATTTTGATGGTTTAGCACACAGCCGTACTGATGTTAAACGGGACGATAGTTTATTTTGCAGTGTTAAAATGGACCGCGGTTTATTTTTTAGTGTTAAAATAGACAGGGGTTAGGTACATCTTCTACTTTGAGAGATTTCGAAATAATAATGTTTAAAAAAATAATCAACTTGGTAGTATTGCATTTTTTATTATTATTATTATTATTTTTTAATGTGACGATCATTTTTAAAAGTGAAAAAAAAAAAAAAAAAAAAGTTTTTTTTTTTTTAAAAAGCCAATATAAAACAAAATTAATCAGGCGTTGACACTGAAGTGTGTCAATCAATAAATTTCAACATCCGTCGCGTGTAACTCATTTAATAGGTGTTGGCTGGAGATTGGATAAAACCATAAATTTCAAGGGAAAAAAAAATCTTCATGCAAAGTATGGTCACACTTTTTTCTTCTTCTTTTTATTTTAATCCTAAAATTGGATCCATCATACAATAGGGTCGTCGTTTTCAACGCACAGGGCTAGTCTCATTTTCGTTTTGTATTTTGCCTGAGATAGTCAAACATGTCAGTTTAATACATGATAGTTTACATTCCCAGCGCATAAGCCAAGGGTTATCAACCTTCTTAATGCCGCGACCCTTTAAATACAGTTCCTCATGTTCTGGTGACCCCTTACCATGAAATTATTTTCGTTCCTTCTTCATAAACATGTGTTTTCGGATCGTCCAAGGCAACCGCCCCCCCCACCTGTTTTAGGGTCGCGACCCACACGTTGAGAACCGCTGGGCATAAGCCTTGATCACATGAATAAGGACGCAATCTCTTTTGTATAGGCGCAGGTGTAATTATCACATACAGGATACACCATTCTGTCACTTGAGACTGTGGATTCTGAATGGGTTTTTCTTTAATTGGATGATTTTAAATTTTAAAAAAAAATAATTAAACAAACCCGATACGCAAACAAGGTTTGTTATAACGCCGGAAGGTGGTGTGTTGGGGCTCGGGGCAATAAATCCACCTAGGCACTTGCGGAGCAGCGCAATTTAGAGTTTAACACCTTTTGAGGCTTAGGTGGAGCATGTTCGTCCTTGTAGTGGAGGCACATTTAAAATAAACTTCACATGCTCGTCTTTGTGGAGACACAATTCACATAAAAGTCACAGATCCGTCGCTTTGGAGACACAATTCACATAAAAGTCACAGATCCGTCGCTTTGGAGACACAATTCACATAAAACTCGAGACGCAATAAATCACTGATTCAAAAAAAAAATCAATCAGTTATCGGATTCAAACGTTTGACGTGTGTGAAAAAATAATGACCGCTCGAATGCCATTGTTATGGTGTAAACGTAGTCCGGGCGTTGTGAATTGGTGGCGGTGTCTGCTGTTGGTGGTGACGTCTTGTGTGCCACCAGTCACCTTCTATTACCTGACACAGGACCAGGGTGTTCCGTCGGTGGCTACAAGTCCAACGGTCAAAGATCGTCTTTTCGGTAAGTCTCACCAATTGTTACGATAGAAATAATCACTGACAAACGTGCTCTTGCGGCCATAACTTGGTGTTTACAGTTTCTATACGTTTACCACAATCGTACGAATGGTACTTTTTTTTTACTGTAAATCACTTACAACTCTGTATTACTGTTACACATTTATTTATTTTTTAAGTCTACTATCACATGTTTACTGTAACTTAATTGCAATAACATTTTCACTGTACAAAAAATGTTGACTGGTATACCAGGATTAGTGTAAAAACTGTATTGCCCGATATGGTAAGTATAAAATATTGAATGTTTTATGATAAATGTAAAAATGTTGACTGTTATACTATTAATAGTGTAATATCTTCACTCTTATACTATTCTTAGCTTAAATGTTTGACCTGCATTCTACGATTAGTGTAACATTGTTACTGTCAGATTATAAGTTTAAAATTTTGACTTTCAAACTATAATTAGAGGAATATGCTGACTGTCAGGCTTTTATTGAATGTATTATGTTTTCCGTCAAATGATATCTCGCTAGTGTTCAGTCATACTTTCAATATTTGTTTCAATACTAAACAGAAGTTCAAAACAACCTGTCTAAAAAAAAAATCAATTATTTTTCTAGTATCCAACTCCCTTCAAAAAGATAATTTCAGTTGCGAAATAATATTTTAGTGTGAACAACTTTTTTTTTCATTTATCGAACCGTAAGACAAAGCGACAAGATGTCTATCTTTATTTGACAAACTTATCTGTGCTACAACGGGTAGAAAAAGTGTTCTTTCTTAGAACAACATCATTTTTTTTAAATGCAAATATTAGCACAGAAATATCGTTATAGCGAAGATTCTGCGACACTTTCCTTATACATAATGTTACAATGGTAGGCAAGGAACAAATCAGTTGGGTTTATACAGAAGGTAACACTGATAGTTAAGGAACCAATCATTTAGGTTTCTACAGAGGGTTACAATGAAAGGCAAAGAACCAATCAGTAGGGTTTATACACAAGGTTACAATTATAGTTAAGGAACCAATCAGTTAGGTTTCTACAGGGAGTTACAATGATAGGCAAAAAACCAATCAGTTGGGTTTATACAGAAGGTTACAAAGGTAGTAAAGGAACCAATCAGTTAGTTTTATAAAGAAGTTACAATGGTATGCTAGGAACCAATCAGTGTAGGTTTATACAAAGGTTTACATTGGTAGGAAAGGAACCAATCAGTTGGGTTGATGCAGAATGTTAGAATGGTAGGCAAGGAACCAATCAGGTGTAGTTATCCACAAAGTTAAAAATATAGACAAAAATTCCACGAAATTTAACCAATTCGCCTAAACGTATGAAACTTTTTAAACATTTTGTACTGGTGGGTAGGTTTGGATAAAAGACAAGACGAAGCTCTAAACAAAAATAGGGTTTTATTTTGAACTTATAGTGTAAGGCAAGGATCAACTTAGGGGAGGGGGGTAATAGTTCGAATAATCAATCGTTGAAAAAATCCATTGTCATCGACAGATCGATAGATTGAAGTATCAACGGATATGCTAAAATACAAATCGGTAAAATAACACTCCTTTTATTTCACGCAGTGTAACTTAAAAAGATCAAGCGATACATCAAGTCAGTATAAAGGTGTGTACAAAAATGCTAGGCGTCCCGGGGGGGGGGGGGGGACNACTTGATTTGAACAATATTTTTCAATTCTCAGAACATGCCCTTTTTTTTTTTTTAGACTTAGGTATGCCACATACATTTCTTTGCTTTTCACGCCCAAAAAGGCACGCCGTGGTTTGCCGACCTCAGTACTAAAGTATGCTGTATAACTCTACAGCACTATCATCTATTAGGAAACGATATGATATCATTGTGAGTTCAACACTCGAATACGAAATTTGTAACGGCGAATGTATGTTTATATATGAAACATAAGAAGAATTCCTATTTATTTACTTTACCCACACACACACACAAAAAAAAAATCGCTGTCATTACCTCCCTCCCATCTCACACACGCACTCGTACACACACACACACACACACACACACACACACGCACAGACACACGCACGCAATCACGCCGTGGTAGACTTTACACTTTTTACTTTTCATTTTATCCTCAGGGTCACTTCGTCGGTACAGTAAAACACAGCCTGGTCCGGACAGAACCGCCGCGCGTGAAGAACTTTTTGAACCTTTTCCTCCAGTCGTGAACCTGTCTCTTTCATCGACATCGAAAGCGTCACCTTCATCGCTTTCAACAATGACGGCTACATTTAAAACCACTTCGAAACAGTCATCCTCAGATGGTCTTATTCTCGATGTGGCCTCTGGCGCTTTCACGTCACCTTTCACGATCCCAGAGGACAGCCTTGGTGGCGATGCGACTGTAGAGGTCAAGGTGAATGTCAGCCGGAGAAAGAAGCTCGTTTTTCGGGATGCAAACGCCAGGCCCGTGGTGGCCAGGACGATGGCATATTTGTCTCCTTGTTCGAATAGCACCAAGAACTGTTTCCGCACCGAGTCGCTGAATCTGAAGAAGTGCAAGTTTAAAAACTGTGCAGTCACGCATGAATGGAGGGACGCGGACGTGCTCGTGTTCTATCCCTTCAAGTGAGTGCATGGGTGAATTGACTTCCGGGTGATAGATAATAAATAGCACCAAATAAAAGACCTTGACATATGACCTTCATGGAAGTCTGATCGTTAGGCTAATTAACACCGTTGTTGATAACGACGTCATAATTTCATTGTATTCTATTCTTTGTGTTGGGGGAGGCTAGAAGGGATAATTTGGTAGTAGGACAATTCAATTGAATTTTACCAGTTTTTGATAAAATTGTCACACACACTTTCCCTACCCCACAAACCGTACGAAAATTTCCCACATGAAGATTGCGCACACTAAAGACCAAATATTCCACACACAGAGAATTCCCTCACATAACTATTCAGTAGCCCATTCCCCCCCCCCCCTAAACCTAAATTCAAATATTCTACTTCAAAAACAATTCTAAAAGTACTAGCAGCGTTTCTTGGGCCTCATCATGGATGCGAGCCACAACTTTTTCGTGTGGGGAATAATCCATTATCCAACATATGTATCGTTAAAACTCTGTAATATAACAAGAAAGAAGTGCTCTGAATAATGATGTATTAAATAGTAATAATAACATTTCATATGTTGTTCTGCAATAGATTATATATCATTTCTTACCCTAAGAACATTGGTGAAAAAAGGGGGGGGGGTTAAAAAAAAGGCATATATTATTGCTCCGCAGTCAGAATTTAACATTGCCTCTATACCATCGTCCAGGATGACGAGGGAGCACACTGTCCCCAGCTTCACGAGACCGGCATGGCAGCGATGGGTCATGTTTACACCTGAGGCCTCTTGCCGGGCTGGGAAATTCTGGGTCCTTAACACGTCACAGTTCATTGGTGAGATGATTCCTCTCATCTGATAAAGCAAAACTGTCTGCCAAGTTGAATCGAATCGCCTATTGAACAAACTTGACTTCTTGCCTATTGAACAAACTTGACTTCTTGCCTATTGAACAAACTTGACTTCTTGCCTATTGAACAAACTTGACTTCTTGAATCTCTTGTTTTGCTTCTTTTTTTTTTTTAAATTTTTTTATGCATGGATCAAATAAATAGTGAACAGCAATGAAAGTGCTCCAATTTTTTTAAAAAATAATGTAACCAATACTTTCATCTAAAATTTGGCAGGTCAGTTCAACTGGAGCCTCACCTACAATCTAGATTCAGACATCCCGAACCCTTACGGGAAACTCAAGCGAGTGATGCCGGGACCGGACAAGAACTTCGACGCCATCTACTCCTCCAAACACGTGCAGGCCGCGTGGTTTGTCAGCCATTGCAGCACCGAAAGTTTAAGAATGCCGTATGTCCATCGCTTGCAGAAGATAGTCCCCGTGGACATCTTCGGGAAATGCGGGAACTACTCGTGTGCCGAGGGTTCTAACTATCGACAGGGCGACAACCGTCGTTGCTTCCCGTTACTAAGCAGGAAATACTTTTACTACCTGGCCTTCGAGAATTCCTTCTGCGTCGATTACGTCACGGAGAAATTTTTTAAGCTCTTCACGAACGCTGACGTCATACCCGTTGTACGTGGCGGGGCCGATTACAAACGGTATTTCCCACCCGATACTTTCATAGACGCATCAGACTTCGATTCGCCTGAGGCCCTGGGCGAATACTTAAAGGATCTATCGCTGGACAAGAATCGATACCTGAAGATGCTGAGAACGAAGAGTCAGTACGAATACGCGAGCGTTGAAAGCTGGCCGTGTAAGTTGTGCGAGAAGATGAACAAAGACACTGGCGTCCAGTGGTACCCTGGAAATAACATGTGGACCTGGTTTGTTCAAGACCAGTGCAACAATCCTAAAAATATATAAAAGACAATAAATAAAATATATATTTTCTTAAATTAAAACATTTAAAAAAAGACATTTTTATACTTTTTTTTTTCCTCAATTAAAAACCAGGCTTTAATTTTTTTTTGTTACAAGTCAGCAATACTACGAAAGAAATATAAATAATGTTGTGACAAAACTGTTGTTATTGTTCGTCCGTCGAGGATCAACGATGACCAGCGATTCGTCCAGTGACTGATGACTTGCGTGGGTGACTTTTGTTTAAAGTGATGAAGAGTTGCGCGGCGTCAACCTCACTCTCTCGTCCGAGCCCACCACATCCAGTGGCAAGACTCTACGTCAAGACGACCAGGGATGTGTTCGGTTGCAGGAATTGTCATTGTATGCGCCTTACGGTACTCCAACTCCGGGTTTGAATTCAGAATTTCCTTTTCTTAGATGAGTTGCCGACCAAGGTTAACGAGTCTCATCCACCCGGGATGATGTTTTTGCTTGATCGGCCTTTGTTGGAATTGAGGTTTGCTCAAACAGTGGTCTTTGACAAAACTAAATGAACACTTACCCGCCTAGATGTGAGACGCAACAAATATTTTTGATAAAGCCGTTTTAACTTAGTATCCTCCCCAACTGTTTCTTTCGAGCATCCTCTTTGCGAGGAGGACGGCCTCGCCTTGGACCACTCTTAATGCTCCCCCCCCCCCACCCAACCACTTTTCCGGATTTATTTTTTTTTAATAACCATTTTAAGTTTTTTTTTACTGATGCCCTTTCCTTACGTCATAAAGCTAAATTGTATTTAAAATGTAACAAATTTGCAATTAAAAAAAAAAAAAATTCAAGACTTCAAGAGATAAATCTAAGTTTTAGATAGGATCATCCAAGTGTGGTTACATACCTCAAGGCTTAATGTGCCATTAGAGTTAGAGCAGACACTTCGAGTAGCTTCTTCTAGTCCGAAGAACGCTACTCAGCCTGTTGACACACGCAATAGTTGACGAAATTTTAAATAAATGAGAACATTGCCCATTTTTGCCATGCACGAAACCACGCCCTCTCTCTCCCTCACACACACATTCGTACATACACGCACAGACAGGCAGACACACACACACACACAAGCAGACATAAATTCAAAGATCAGTCTGTTATTCTGTGGGGGACACCCATGCAATAAAAGACCCACACCAGATCACTTTGTCTCAGCTGTGTGCCCTTAATGCATCTTAAATGGGATTTGTACATTTTCATTTGAATCAGCCAATAGCCCTCTATTTCAAGTGGCCACATCAATCATTTTTTCTTTTTTTCTTTTTTTTTCGTGTGTGTTGATAATACGACTGAACTTTCTTTCAATCTTTAATTTATGAATTTATGCGTGAAGCTATCCTTTTTTTTTAAATTTTTATAATTAGACGTACCTTGGTAAGTAGATGTACTTTGATAAGAGGAAGTATCTTGGTAAGTAGACGTACCTTGGTGAGTTGATGTACCTTGGTGAGAAGACGTACCTTGGTGAGTAGACGTACCTTGGTGAGTAAGCGTACCTTGTTAGTAGATGTATCTTGGTGAGTAGACGTACCTTGGTGCTTAGACGTACCTTGGTGAGTAGACGTACCTTGGTGAGTGGACGTACCTTGGTGAGTAGACGTACCTTTGTGAGTAGACGTACCTTGGTGAGTAGACGTACCTAGGTGAGTAGGCATACCTTGGTAAGTAGACGTACCTTGGTAAGTAGATGTACCTTGGTAAGGAGACGTACCTTGGTAGGTAAACGTACCTTTGTGAGTAGACGTACCTTAGACGTACCTTGGTTAGTAGACGTACCTTGGTGAGTGGACGTACCTTGGTGAGTAGACGTACCTTGGTGAGTAGACGTACCTTGGTGAGTAGACGTACCTTGGTGAGTAGACGTACCTTGGTGAGTAGACGTACCTTGGTGAGTAGACGTACCTAGGTGAGTAGGCGTACCTTGGTAAGTAGACGTGCCTTGGTAAGTGGACGTACCTTGGTGAGTAGACGTTCCTAGGTGAGTAGACGTACCTTGGTAAGTAGACGTACCTTGTTAAGTAGGCGTACCTTGGTAAGTAGATGTACCTTGTTAAGTAGGCGTACCTTGGTAAGTAGACGTACCTTGGTCATTAAATCACACTCGAAGTACTAAACAAATTGAAAGAATTTAATTCAATAGAGGTGTTAGTGGAAAACATGGCTAGACTGACAGTTTTATTTCATTTTGTTGTGGAAAATGGCAGGATTTTGACATTGGCTTGTTAGAAAAATGACAGTGTTTTTGTTTGTTTGTTTGTTTTTTTTTTTTTTTTAGGATGCTCGAAAGGGATTGTTGTTTAATTTTAGATATTAGAAAGGGGCGGTGATTCAATTTAGGATGTTAGAATGGGACTGAGATTTTTTTTAGATGCTAAAAGGGGACAAGGGTTTATTTTTAAATGTTAGAAATGGACTGTGGTTTATATTTAGATATTAGAAATGGATTGTGGTTTAATTTTAGATGTTAGAAATAGAGAGGGGGCTACTTTTTAATCTTTAAAAAAAAAAAGGAATTTGGTTTCTTTTATTTTGAGACATAATGAAAAAAAAAACAGTGGTTTATTTTGGTAAAAAAAAATTGGTGACCATGGCCTGATAGAAAAGTACAGGATTTTTAAACCGTAATATGGGGCAGGATTTTTGAAGTATGCCCGATGTTTATTTTAACGGTTAGAATAGGACAGAAGTTACGTTTTGCCTGATAAGAAAGGATAGGGTTAATGTTTGGACTTTCACGGTTAAATTCTGGACTGTTTAAAAAAAAACCATCGGCTTACTTGCGATCCTCTTGAAACTGCTGAACTCGTCAGTTTGAAACTGCTGAACTCGTCAGTTTGCAGTTTTAGAATTTGACACAGATGTTGAGGCGAGTATGAAGAATTTTTTATTTTTACATCTAATATTTTAGTCTTTTTTTTTTTTTATTTGTGACAGAATTTCCACACAAAAAAATGGGGGGGGGGGCACAAAAAATATGGTTTTCAGAGCCACAGTAGGTGAGAGAATAATAAAGCAGGAGATGGCTCTGAGGGCTTAGTGTTAAAATCAATAAACTATAAAACTCGTCACATCTCACGCCTTTAATAACGGCATAAAAGGTTAGTGACCAAATATTCGACCTAATCATAAATTTCAATGGAGGAGAAAAAAACACACAAAAACTACGTAATGCAAAACATGTCACAATTAAAAAAAAAAAAAAAAAAATCTCAAAAATAGATTCGTTTTTGATCTTTTGTTATTGTCGTTTTCATAGCAAATGTCTACATAACATTTTGGATAACAGATTGATTCCGATGTATTCATAGCGCACGGCGCCATAAAAAAGGATTGTGTGAAGGGTTCTTCTGTCGCATTCACATCACTAGGCTGGTTTGCTATTTTGTTGTTGTTGTTGTTAAGCCTCGAACTTAATATTGTCAAATAAGTCAGAGTGAAACATGATAATTTAAACACGCTTGCATAGATGTAATGATCACATATTTTAGGACTCACTCACTTGTATGTCAGCGTTCATCTTGACCTTACACCTCGAGGGTGAATTATTCTGTGACTTGAGACCATAGACTCTGAATGATTGTGTTGTAGGTTTTTTGTTTTGTTTTTTTTTTTTTTAGTTGACGTTTTGGAATAAACTAAATTAAACTAACGGGATACAATTTTTTTTTTTTTTTTGGTTTAAATCAAGGTTTATTCTTTCCGCCTAAAGGTAGTGTTTTATGGCACACAAAGTAAAACCGTCTAAATCAAGGCAGAGCTGCGTGGATTGTGACAAGTTGGACTTAGGCGTGCAGCGTCACTTGTGGTGGACACGCTTCGGGAAGACCCACCAATCGTCTTTACAGGAAATGTGTTACTGATCGGCCCTAAAAAAAAAGAGTGGACGAGGAAAACTTTTTTTTAAAAAATGACCGCTAGGATTCAATTGTTTTGTTGTAGGCGTGGTCAGGGCGCTGTGAATAGGTGGTGGTTTCTGCTGTGGGTGGTGGCGTGTTGCCTGCTGCTGGTCACTTACTATTACCTGACACAAGACCTGGAGATGCCGTCGTTGCCAAGAGGCCGTGTGTTCAGAGATCGGCTTTTCGGTGAGTCTGGCCACGTTAGCGATTTAAAGAAATCATCAGTCGTCGCCATATGTTTACATACACGTGTTTGCAGCCATATGTTTACAGCCATATGTTTACAGCCATATGTTTACAGCCATATGTTTACAGCCATGTGTTTACAGCCATATGTTTACGGACAAATGTTTACATGCATATGTTTACAATCATTATGTTTACAGCCGTATGTTTACAGCCATATGTTTAGAGCCATATGTTTACAGCCATGTGTTTACATACATATGCTTACAGTCTTACAGCCATTTGTGTACAGCCATATGTTTACAGCCATAAGTTTGCCGTCACATTTTAACAGCTATACCTTAACCCCCACTACGTCCACTGTCATCCTACATAGGCCTACAGATGCTCGCTATTTGAAATACTTATCAGGTGATATTGCTTGGTTATCAGCTCATTTCAATCATTTATATTTATGAAAACTGTGTTCAATATTTCTTGACAGATCTCTAAGTTCCCACTACAGATCTCTAAGTTCCCACTGCAGATCTCTAAGTTCCCACTACAGATCTCTAAGTTCCCACTACAGATCTCTAAGTTCCCACTACAGATCTCTAAGTTCCCACGACATTTACAAACAGTTCCGCGATTTTTTTAATTTTTGCAAACGTTAGTTCGGCCCACTGCACACACACAAATAAACACACACACTTTGCCAAGCACAATCCACAATGAAAACTTCTCTTGTGTACGTCGGACCAGATTAAAAAGGAATAACATAATGTTATCGTGTACATTGCAATACACCTGCATGCTTCTGTGGCAGAGACCAATAATACTGGACGACATTAAGTGTTGAAAACTTCAACATTCATGATGTTCTTCCACAGAATAAGCAACACCACAATT